CTTTAGTCTGGGAGGACAGATGGGGTTGAATATTCAGAGACCAACTGGTAGAAGAAGTAAGGATGTAGGAAAGAAATCTTTTATTTCCACAAACTTATCCTGAGCACTAACACTTAATCCCTCATTAGTTTTCTGACGTCTTTTTTCCTTAACTCTACCTAGCTGATATCGACACTGAAAACAGCAGAAACTTGGAGGGGAGGGCAGTAAATAATTTGTCCCTTTTAATTCTCTCAGTGAAGAATGGAAAAATAATCTTCTATCAGATGGCACTAACAGAAGATTTAAAATGGATGCCAGGTCACTTTTGTTCTGGACTTGCCAGCTTCCTGTAGAAATGCTGCCTCAGGAATTAGTGAATGCACCTCTCTAAGACTTCTACCTGATCCTTTTTAACAGCTTTAAAAATTCAATAGTTCTCCAGTGTGGGATTCAGCGGTAAATGTACATGTCTACATCTGAGCTGGTCACCCTAAGCTCTCTATATAAGCAACGGAGAGAAATAGGTGCTTCAAAAGTATAATTCACCTTATTCTAAAGCAGTTGTCTGAATCCTGAAAGATGGTCTCAACTAATCAAATTACTTCTTCTTAATTATTTCCATTGATTATATGGGGTGATTAACATAGTCCTCTGGCTCAGCTAAACTTAGGTGAAAACCCCTTTGCTGTTTCAGAGAAGGACAAAGGTTTATGGAAGCGAAGGATTGCTACTATATTCATGACTCATCACCCCTAGAGCAAAAATACTGTATTCCAATTTTCAGTATACAATCTGCAAAGTAGTTTAATAATTGATCTTCCCAGTATTAGCTGAGATGGCTGGCAATTGCTCTGGGGGTCACAGCCCACCTGAGAATGAAGGCCTTTGCCTTTTTGTGTTCCAGATAATCTTGAAGTGGACCAACCTTTTGGTGAATTCTAAGCAAAATAACCCACTATATCTCAAAAACATCTGATCTGATGCATATAAGATAATCTTGTCTCCTGCCCGAAAAAGTCATGTCAGAGCATGTCTTTGCTGACACAAATTTATCGAGGCAAGCTTTCCGTAACACGCTGATCTACCACTCACAAGACAAAAACCACAAATACAAATTTTCTGCATATCTGGGTCAGCCTGTACTGTCTCTGTATAATAATTTAGATGCCATCTGACTACCAATGAGTCTTGAGTGAGGACACTAGAATTCCATCATCTGATTCACAGAAATACTTCTAGTAAAATCACTGATGTAATATTTTGTTGTTATTACTAAACAAAGCTGTTCCTCTCATCAAAAAGATTTCAAAGTCTCTCTTTCTAGTCTTTAACTCTTTTTTGATGATATGGTCATCTTTGGACAATTGTCATTCGTATAAAGAGGAGAGAACCGTTACTTGATCTTTCTGCCCTGACAAAAACATCAGGAAACAGGAATGACAATATCAAATTCGGGTCCATTCTAGGCTCCAAACAAATTTGAAGATTCAACCCTGGAATCAATCTCTTGATGGAAAATGCCTTACTCCACAGTTCATCATGAACTTCTTGACTCTTAGATCAGTCGTAAGGACAATTTTTAATTTTTACTGCAATCCGATTTTGAGCCATTAATGATTTGGTGAGTCACGACCAAGAACAGAAACTATCAGGGAAAGCACACTGAAAGCCAGTGGAGTCAGCCAACCTCCTCATAAGCTTACAAAAGCCTAATTCTGTGGCAAGAAAGCAGTCACATTCTTCATTAATGGGAACCTTTACTTTTTTTTCCATCTCCAGCTTCTTATACCACATTCAATTCTTATTTGAAGTTAAAGTCTTAGCAAAGGAAACAAAACAAAATCAATGAAAAAAACCAAAGCAATATCCTGTTTTAATATAATTAAAGTACTATCTTTTGTAAGCACTGTTTTTTCTTCCTCTTCTATCATATCACCCTGGGACAAAAAATTATTACAAAGAAAAAAAATGAAAAACATCTCCACATTTTTCCACAGAAAAATGAGATTATAACATAAGCACACTTAATGGAATTCTTCTCATTTGCTGAAGTTTGGAACAGAGTACAATAATGTAGAAGGATAACTGCAACCCTTTTTTCCTTCAACTATGAAGAAACTAGCTGATCTTAATTTCAAAGAATATTGTGAAGGATACAATTTTAGGGAACAGCTTTAAAGAATGTTGCTTGTTTCCATAAATGTGATACTACCCATACATTCCTTTATTTAGGAGGTAATAAATTTGTTATCTGCCTAACATGCACCAAAAAAAAAAAAAGGTGTTTAATATTAAGCAGGAGTGTGGCTACAAGAATTTGTCTTGACAAAATAATGACTGACTCATTAAGTTAACCTCCATATTAAACAAAAGTACAGATATTTAGGTGGCAAAAGAAAGATATCCTGTTTTTTAAAAAGAAATGTAATAATCTGCTTCTGGAATGGAAGCAATATTTTTAAAAACTACACAGCATATTATAAGTCATTTCTCACACTTTTTTTAATAAAAACATCTGTTGTCTGCTGAGACGTACAAAGCATAACACTGATTTCAGTAAGATAATTTACAGATATGGCATTGCCTTACTTTATAAATTGGTTTAAAATTACAGTTGAGGCATTTAGGTTTTTATAACTAGATTAACCCAGTACTACTATAACTGTGTAGCTGCTAGTTTGTTACCATCTGTTTGCTCTCAAATGATTGTATCAGGTTTATGGAACAGCATTAATAAATTACATACTATCAAAAGCTAAAATTCTGAGAATAAGTAAATACACAGACCATGAATGTAATCTTTTAAAAGGTATACTTAAAAAATCTCCATAGAAATAAACCAGAATACACACGATATTTCAGTTTAATCTTCTAAGAGGCTTTGATAACTTTGAAAAACAGCATATTACAAAACAGTAAGGAAACACCCCACTTTGTGTAGGTATTGCAGAACAGATGATAAAATTCTCACTTCATTGTGTGTTTCCTTGCTGGTTTCCTTTTCCACAGCCTCCAGACTCAGGGTTTGGATATAAAAAGAAAAATTGTATAGGGGGGTTTTGGGGGTTGTTTGTCTTTGTTTTGTTCGTTTGTGTGTTTTGTTGTTTTGGTTTTTTTTTTAATAGCAGTAAAAGGCTGACCTGATCAAATCAGAGCTGTAAAATGCTCTTTGAAGCCCCAAGGCCTTCCTAAAATAGCAGTGACTTCTTGTGTAATCTCAGAGAGCACACTTCTGTCCCTAGCATGGTGTGTGTACTGTGGAAATCCACTGGGGCTAAAGACTGAAACAGCTCACTGGGAAGGCAAGTCAGTCTGCAAAAATTGCTGTAGCGTAATGAATACAGCAGCACTGCATAGCTGGTACAGAACTAGGGTGACAATAAGTGAAGGTACTTATTCTGTGCTTGCTCCCTGACATCTGATACTTCTTCCCCCCTCACAGAGCAACGACACTACTCTTATTTCAGGGGACAGGACCTCTGTCAACACAGCGTTTGCGGGGGAAGGATATGGTCCTTATGTTGGTCCAGCTCACGCAGAATGTGACCGAGTCACAGATCAATCTTCGTTTCCCTCTCTTTAAGCAGGGAATATTTAAACCGACTATGACACCTAGCACGATTAGTACGATAGCATGGTCAAAGGTAACTGTCCCACATCAACCATGTGTACCCACAGAGCAGTGATATGGCACTTCCCGCTGCCTCATCTAACTAACTTTTCTGTCACTGTTAGGCTGCTCTCTCCCACAGACTGTGACCATGATAAAAGAGTCTCTCTTACAGAAACAAAGAAACAAACTGAACTTCGCAAACCTTAGGATGACATACTGAGAAGGTCCTGCCTAATCCCATCATTGAACTAATCTTTAGTCCATCATCTTTGAACCTATTCTTAATTCAAATAAAAGAAGTGGGGTATGAGTTTGCTTTAAACAGATTGCTCTCCTAGATCATCAGACCAGATGCATTGCAATCTTTGTACCGACAGTCAGAACACTTACTATCTTTATCATGTTATCATTGTAAAAATAAAGGCAAATCAAACATGTATGACAGGAAAGGAAAGTTTGTCTGCTGGCTGAGTATTATATGGTATAGTTTTAGGACACTGATGAAGTTATTACCCTTTCAACTCAAATTTGGTAATTTTCTAGATTTTCATTTGAAAGTTTTTAGGGAAGGTTTGCAGGTTTATTTTTAGGCTAGGGTGGAGAAAGGAAGCATGTTTTGCAAGAAACTAGCTGGTCGAATTTCTCTCTGATGGATAGGATGTTTTTGTGCTGCAAGGGTGATCTTGCAATATTAATTGTTAAGGTGCCTAGAGCCCTTGTATATGCATCTTTTTATTATTTAAATATTGAAATAAATAAATCATCTCACTTAAGCAACCAGCAATTCAGATTTGTTAGAATTCTTTCATTAATTTTGATGGTGCTGAACCCCAGATCTATTGAAAGACTGAAGAATAAGTCAGTCATAGTCTCTTGTAACTTCTAAATGTAAATACCTCAGCTATAAGAAATCAAAAGTTATCTAGATTTCTTTCATTCATTGCGTTTTTAAATAACTAATGGTGTATTAAATGCTTCACTGCAGAAGTCAGCACTTGGGCTTGTCTAAATAATAATTCAAAATTACAAGAATATGTATGTTGGTATACTAAGCTTCCACCCCAGAGGAGATATTTCACAGAGGCTCAGATAAAAAAGAAAAAAAAAAAAGGCGCACAATTTCAAGTATAATTACCGACACAATCTTAACAATAATGTTACAAATGTGATATAACGCTTTGGTAAATATACAAATCAGTAAAATCAATGAGTTAAATGCTTTGATATATTTAAGATCAGGAGAAATGAACCATCATTATTTAATATCAACTTCAATTTTTAAATGCCAAGTTCCACTAAAAAGGGTAGGGCCTAGGGATCTTTAAATTTAAATGATTATGATGACTAGAAACAAAGGAAACAATAAACTTGTGGATGTTAAAATGCCTCAAAAAAGCCAACTTACGCAGCAGCTTCTTGTTTTGACAACCCTTTGATATTCTTCGCCAAATAATCATCTATGCCATCTTTGTCTTTGATCAAATGAATCCTAAATTTAAATGAAAAAAATTAAAAGAAACACTGTGAGGTGCTAACATAGACTTCTGCAGCATGTATAATATATTAACATTGCCAAGTAGAGCTAAATACTGAAATATTGACAAAGTAATATATCAGACATTCTATAAACACATACAAATATCTTTTTAATTTTTTGGTCTGTAGCTATTTCAGATCTTTATTTCTGAAAGAAACAGAGCTGGTATTAGCTTTCAAGGTCCTGGTTATCTGATATTTCTGTCTAAACTAGAAGAAACTGTATTAGCTAAATCAATAACAATTGATTAAGCTATCCATATTTAAACTGTTTTCTAAAGCAGAACCATTACTTTTTTGCATTAGCAGTATGGACCAGAATGGTCCAATCTATTTTGTATTTAACTTTTTCAAAATTAAAAAAAAAAAGAAAATCAACACAACCAATCCCAAACCCAACTCAAAATGTTTTCCTTAGTGCCGTGCAGACTTTTAATACTGCTCTCAGCTTTCCACAGTTTGAGCAGCATATTGCAAAAAGTGGTCCACTAAGGGGGTAATCCAAAGGGCATTGAAATAAACAGGAAATTTCAGGATGCATGGATCTAATTTTAAAATGTGAACTACACATCATTTCACCTTTTACTTGAGCCATCATTTCTTTGCATCTCCACTGATACACAAGAGATGCCTTGAATTTTAAAGGATAATATGCACTTACTGACCGTAAAGTGTATTTAAATAGATTCTGATATCCCAACTGTAGAGGATATTATCTTTAGAAAAGTAATGTGAATTTATTTTTATTCTTCATTAAAAGAGCATAAAGATTGTCTGGTTAATCGCTCAAAGATAAAAGAAATTAAACATTAGTGTTCCACATAAATCTATTACTTTCCTCTTTCTCTGTCTGTATTACACTGCTGTCTTTCATTACAGGGATGAGAGTAAATTCTTTTAATAATGTTCGCTAATATAAGCGTCATGCTCCTTATTGCTCTGAGAATACCAAAGACACTTCAAGAAGTTCATTCAAATGAAAACAAAATAGCTAAGCAATGTAGAGATATTTTGACATGTCTGTATTTAAAACAATGTAATAGTGAAAACTTCAAGCACAAATAGGGCATTTAAATTTGTTCCAGAATTTACTACTACTGAGCTGCACCAACGGAGGCTTATGCTTTCAAGCTGCACATAACACAATCCATATGAGTTGCTGCTGACCATGCAAAATGTACACCTTATGGATACTGCCATAAAAATTCAGTTATAATCAATACCAAAATTTAATCAATATCAAAATTTTCACACCAGAATAGTCACAATTTAGGAAGATATATAATGTCATTAGGATAATGACGATAAGGTAATTATCGTATATTTTAAACTGATGTAAAATTTATTGCAAGATACAACAGGTTTATATGAGGTAATAGAAAAACTGAAAAATAGTAATTAAATGTGAAGTATTCAGTAGACGACACAAAACCCCCTGGCTGACCTTTGTACTTTAAGACTGCAAAAATGAGCTTTCTGCACATCAGTAGCACATAGAGAACACACCAGATATGGGGGGCAGGGAGGGGGGGAAGTCCAAACCCCCAAACTGAAACAGTCAGCTACATCAAGCAAATTCCTAGGCATCACTATCAGCTTGCTGCAATTTAATCTACACTGCAGTTAAAAATAATCTTAAACTGGAACAAAGGAAAGCCTGATGCCTTCTCATTATCTTCTTAAAAGGTATTTCAATAAAAAACAATTGGGGAAAAGCCCCTAGAATCATATACAATTTAAAATGTCACCTGCCTTACAGTTAAGGTATAAATTTCTGAGTTCTCATTGGTAACACCCTCTAACTTAAAGACAACTACAGCCAAGGGGAAAAAAACCAAAAGCAACAACTTGCAAGCCAGTTACTGTTTACATAAGTTCTGCAATACCGTGTATTGGACTGATGCAACTACAAATGCGGTCATCCATCATAAAGAATTTAAGTTACTAAAAAAAAATAAATACTTGTCTCATCCTGGCTGTTATTATCAATGATGTTAATGTAGCAATAACATAGAAAAGACAAGCAGATGATATATAGGAAAAAATACACAGTAGAAAATTCCATTCACTCAAATAATAATTATTTAAAATGGCTTGTTATATGCAATGAGAATTAAAAACAATAAAAGTAATCAGTGTGAAGAACTGAGACTGTGACTTGGAATGGCTATTGTTGCTTAACAGAGAAATGAGGTGAGGATGGCACTGGCTAAGAGGCATTGTTTCTTTTCTTCCAGTTGTCACTTGTTTTTTCCAAACTGTTTTAACTTTATTTCTCCAGTGTTTCCATGATGATTCGCTGTATTTCATAAATAGTTTATAAAAAAGTCTACTTCACCTGTAAATTGGCTCCTATTTAATTTTAAATCACGCACTTCTTAAAAACAAATATATTTTAATCCAATGGACACCTGTCCCAGAGTTAACATTTTACACCATGCGTTCCTATAACTATTTCTGTTACCAGTCTACACAGCAAAAAATCAGCTACTGATTTTTTTCTAGAAATAAACTTCATGATAAATACACCTGGCTTTTTAATCAAAGAACAGAACAAAGTCGCATAAAGGACCAAACTGATTCTCAACATAACTTTCTGTCCCCACTACCTATTCTGTTAACTCAGACTCCAGTTTTCTCAAAATTTCCTATCAAAGAAAATGGCAGAGCTTGTCTTGCTCTAATCACTAGCCATCTACAGCACAGTCTAGACCATTACAGAATCACACATTTCTTTTCTACAAATAGGCACAACTTCTATAGGACTGCTATGGAATGATCTTGAAACTCCCCAAGTACAGGGAAGAAACAGGACTCCTACCTCTGGGGTGAGCTCTCCAACAATGTAGTTACTGGAAAAAGTGATTGCTGCAGAACACGGCACCAGCCATAAAAGATTTTAAAAAAAAAAAAAAATTCCAAG